ACAGGGTTATGCATGCACATTTAGACATTGACTATGCCACATTATTTTCTCTGTTTGAGAAAGGCCCTTACCACACACTCTGACACTCAGACTGGAGTGCAGTGGCACACTCGCAGCCACCGCAGCCTCGACCTGCTAGGCTCAGGTGACCCTTTTGCCTCAGCATTTCCAAGTAGCTGGAATATGGGCACATGCCACCAAGTCTGGCTCATTTTATGATTTATTGTAGAGTTGAGGTCTTGCCAAGTTACCCAGGCTGGCCTTGAATCTGCGGGTTCAGATAATCCTTTCACTTCAGCCTCCCAAAGTGCTGGGATTATAGGTGTGAGCCACCATGCCGGTCCAATCCTAAACTCTTATGCCTACACTTAAAGCCAGTGAAACTGGAGCTTTCTGCTTAAGGCCTAGCTGTACTACACCACACAGACTGCCTTCAGGCAAAGCACTAAAATGCAAATCTTGCCCATTGTAGTTTGCTTCTTTTAAGGGTCATTTTTGCCTGCTTATGGTTGCTCTCTAGCGTCTTCAAGTAGTTGTTTATAATATTTTGTCAAGTTTAAAAATTGCTATCTATGAAAGATTCAGTCCAATAAAACTACTTTGACTGGAGCTCCATCTATTAAGTTTTTATTTCAACAATTTTTTTTTTTTTTTTTTTTTTTTTGCTTCTAAATATTCTAGTCATCCTAGCTTGAAATCTGCCTGGTCATTTATTTTTTTATTTTTTACATTCTCTATAAACTGCTAATTTTTGTGATTCAATTTTATTTCCATAATCATTCTGTATAATTATTTCATACTGTATTCCTGATACTTCCATTCTGTAAACACCTTGGAATCTATATCTGTCATTAGGTGTTATATCTTTCATTTGTGGTAGCTGCCTTTTGTGTTTACTTATTTATGATTCTGGGATATCTTTGGTTGATCTTAACTTGAAGAAAAATTGAGGGGCCTAAATTGAGGATGTACATTGGATTTTATCACTAGCCAATGCGTCCATACCAACCAGGGATCATTTATTGCTGTTGTTTAATTGGAGATAAGGTCTCACTGTTGCCCAGGTTGGGTCTGAACTCCTGGGCTCAGCAATCCCACATCAATCTCGCTAGTATCTAGGATTACAGGTGTGCATCATCGCACCCATCCAGGGATCACTTTAGTTCCTGTTCCAGCTTAATCCCCAATTCTCAAGTTTAGCTCCCTTACCTTTTCTCTAGCTCAAGTCTACTGAGTGTAACATGAATATCTGTAAATATAATCAGAGCAATGCCACTTTTCACCTGCATGTACTCTTTTTTTTTTTTTTTAACTTTGCCAGGAAACAGCGTTTATTCGTGCCGGCACCAGCTTAGCAGATTCACATCCAAAGGCTGAGCCTGTGTATACTCTTTACTGTTTGGTTCCAGCTCACTATTTTTGGTTTACTCCTTGAGATTTAATATGATTTATGTAAAATCTAGTTATTTTGTAATGACAAAGACTTACATAGATTCTAGTCTATCTGTTAGGAGAGTTACTCATGCCATTATAAAGAGGCTCTATTATACTTTCCTTTATTACACTTTACTGATTTTTACAAGCAGGAAAGAATTGTATTTGGATTTCAAATTTTTCATAGTCAAGAAACAATTTCACCAACTTTTTTAAAATCCAGGATATTTTTAAGCAAAAGAAATGACATAACTTTGAGTACCTACTGTGAGTCAAAACAAGTTTATTAAAGGGTCAACTTTTACTTGGCCTGACACATCATTTCACTCCCCTCTGTTTCTTTGCAATCGATCCACATAATAAATATCATTTTGCTTGGCATTAGCACCAGCATGATTATAAACCCAAATAGGCACAATACAGTAGCTTAGCAGATCCAGAGTATGCTTATATTCATTTTCCTTTATCAGAGAAAAGATAGCACATTTTAAAGCTCTCAGAAAACTCTCAGACATCAGCAAAATAGACCCCACTCTGCTATATACTGTCACAAATAGTTTTCTCCAACACTAATGCTGTTCCAGCTTTATAACTTTAGTTGAGTCACAGCTTGGGAGAGAATAAAGTTAACTATCATAGAGACATTCAGTATCCTTAGGTGAATCAGCATGACGATGATCAGCATAATTAGAAAGACTAAGCAAATGGTACTTTTTTTTTTTTTTTTTTTTGAGTTGGAGTCTCACTCTGTCGCCCAGACTGGAGTGCAGTGGCCGCTCCCGGCCACCGCAGCCTCGAACTGCTGGGCTCCGGCGATCCTTCCGCCTCAGCCTTCCGAGTAGCCGGAATTACGGGTATGCGCTACCACGCCCGGCTGATTTTTTGATTTATTGTAGAGATGAGGTCTCACTGCCCAGGCGGGTCTCGAACCCGCTGGCTCAGGGAATCCACTCACCTCAGCCTCCCAAAGGCGTGGGATTACAGGCTGAGCCACCGAGCCCGGCTCTACTTTTTCTTTACGTCCTTATTCTGTAAGCTTTATTTTAAAAAATTTAATCTTAATTCTTAAAACTCTGTTAAAAATTAAGGCAGAAGCACACATTAATCTAGGTCTTCACTGGGTCAGGATCTTCAATATCACTGTCTTCCATCTCCATGTCTTTCCCACGGATAGGTCTTTAGGGAAGATAGCACACATAGAGCTGTCATCTCCTGTGGTAACAATGCCTTCTTCTAGAATACCTCCTGAAGGACCTGCCTGAGGTTGTTTTACATTTAACTTTAAAATATATATATAAGTAGAAAGAGTACACTCTAACAATAAAAAGTGTACTATAGTAAAGACATAAACCAATAACAGTCATTTATTATCATTATCAAGTATTATATACTGTATATAGTTGTATGTGCTATACTTTTATATGACAGGCATCACAGTACGTTTGTTTATACCAGCATCACCAAAAGCACATGTGCAATGTGTTATGCTTAGGCATTT